GAGAGTGTGGGGTAGTGATAATTTTGATTGGATTTTTAAACCTTCAGAGGGCTTATCTGGAGGATTGCTATGTATTTGGGAATCAACGGTGTTTAAAATGAAGGAGGTGTTTGAGGGACGTTCGTTTGTGGGTGTTTTTGGGGCATGGGGAGAAGAGCGGATACCGGTGCATTTCGTTAACATTTATTCTCCATGCACTCTGGCGGGCAAAAGAGAGTTGTGGGAGGAGCTGGGTAACTTAATTAACAGAAGGAAGGGTAGGTGGTGTGTAGGAGGCGATTTTAATGCTGTTACGAGGGTAGAGGAGAGGGCGGGGTGCAAAGACCCAACCATAGAGATGAACGATTTTAACAGCTTCATTCATGATGCGGGGTTGATTGATTTACCATTGATAGGCAGGAAGTATACCTGGTACAGCTCCAATGGTCGACAGATGAGTAGAATTGACAGATTCCTAATCTCTGTTGATTGGCTTGAGAAGTGGGGTGATGTGAAACAGTGGGGTTTGGGCAGATCAGTGTCAGATCATTGTCCGCTGGTTCTGAAGAATGAAAAAGTAGACTGGGGACCAAAGCCGTTTAAATTCTTCGATGCGTGGCTGGAGCAACCTGATTGCAAGGAGCTGATAAGAAAGACATGGAATTCTGCAGCGGAAGAGGGGAGAAAGGGATTCAGACTAAAGGAGAAATTAAAAGGAACAAAAAAAGCCTTGAAGGAGTGGAGTGGCAGTCATATGTCGGAATTAGATAGTAAGATTAAGGAAGCGGAAAAGATGATAGCTTCCTTGGATGAGAAAGGAGAATCTGTTCAGCTATCGGAAGAAGAAAACATCAGGAGGAAAGGATGCTTCCTTGATCTGTGGAAGAACTTGAGAATCAAGGAGAGAATGTGGCAGCAGAAATAAAGGAAGATGTGGCTAAGAGATGGGGATGCCAACACAAAGTTTTACCACAATTGTGTGAAGGGCAGATGGAGAAGAAATGAGCTAAACAGCATCCAGGTTAATGGGAAACAGCTGCGGGAGGTGGGTGAATTAAAAGAAGGAGTAGCAAAGTATTTTCAAGATCTATTCACAGAATATGACAGGCGGAGACCAAAGCTGGATGGCATTAACTTCAAACAACTATCCCATGAAGACAATGAAACCCTCATGGCTGAGTTTACAGAGGTAGAAGTTAAAAATGCAGTGTGGGATTGCGAGCCAACAAAATCCCCGGGGCCCGACGGGTTTAACTTCAAATTTATAAAGGCTATGTGGGAGGACATAAAGGAAGATATTATGGGCTATATTCAAGAATTTCATGAGCGAGGCAAGATGGAAAAAGGAGCAAATGCGTCGTTCATAGTCTTAATCCCGAAGGTTGAAAACCCCCAACGAATTGAAGATTATAGGCCAATTTCGCTCATTGGAGTCATGTACAAGATCCTGGCGAAGTTGTTAGCTAACCGTCTGAGGAAAGTACTGGATAAGATTATCGGGGAGCAACAAATGGCATTCATTAAGGGCAGACAGCTGCTGGATGGGGTGATCATTGCTAACGAGGTGATCGAGGAGGTAAGGAGAAAGAAGAAAAGCAGCTTTTTATTCAAGGTGGACTTCGAAAAAGCTTATGACAAGGTAAGCTGGGACTTTATTGATTATATGTTGATGAGAATGGGGTTTGCTGCCAAATGGAGAAAATGGATGAAGGAATGTCTACAATCGAGCACAGTATCAATCCTCATTAATGGAAGTCCAACAAGGCAATTCTCGGTTAGTAAAGGGATAAGGCAAGGTGATCCACTTTCTCCCTTCTTGTTCTTAATAGTAGCGGAGGGTTTGAATGGCTTAATGGCATCTGCGGTGGATAAGAATCTTTTCAAGGGGGCGAGGATTGGAAACGTTGATGTGACGGTATCCCACCTTCAGTTTGCAGACGATACAATATTTTTTGGAGAAGCTTCAAAGGAGAACATCCAGGTTATCAAATGTGTGTTGAGAACCTTTGAGTTAGCTTCGGGCCTCAAGATTAACTATGGTAAAAGCCAGCTAATGGGGATCGGGGTGGAGGAGGATTGGCAAAAAAGAATGGCATACATTCTCCACTGCAAAGAAGGTGTGCTTCCTGTCAAATATCTGGGAATTCAAATTGGAGGAAATCATAGAAAGTTATCAATGTGGCAGCCATTGGTGAACTCGTTCAAGACGAAGCTTGCAAGTTGGAAGGGCCGGGGTTTGTCAATGGGAGGTCGAATTGCGCTCATAAATTCTGTGTTGTCCAGCTTACCGGTGTTCCAGATGTCAGCCTACCTTCTCCCAAAAGGTATTCTCTACACTTTAGATAAAATTCGCAGAAACTTTTTATGGGGAGGGGAGGGAGAGGGAAAGAAAATCAATTGGGTTTGTTGGGAGAGGGTTTGTAGAGCAAAGGAGGAGGGAGGGCTAGGAGTAAAAGACTTGCAGAAGTTTAATGTGGCACTCATGGGAAAATGGTTGAGTAGGTTAGCAATCTCGGAGGAGGGATTGTGGAAGAGAGTCATTGAAGAAAATATGGAGCAGAAGGGGGTCTCTGGACGGACTGGGTGCGTGATGGCAGGAAAGTAGGGTCGTTATGGTGGAGGGACATCCGAAGACTCAAAGCCGGGGAGGGAGTGAATGTGAGAGGATTGTGGGAGGATTTTAGACTCAAGATAGGGGAAGGGAGAGGTGTCAAATTCTGGTGGGATACATGGTGTGGGGAGGAGTGTTTAGCTAACAAATTTCCTAGACTATATCTATTGTCAACAGGGAAAGAAAAAGAATGTCATGAAATGGGTAATGAGGATCGAACCTTATGGAAATGGAATTTATCTTGGAGACGTAATTTGCTTGAATGGGAAGAAGAAGCAGTCCGAGAGCTCCAAGGGATGATTGAAGGAGTGAAGATCACACCAGGTTGCCCAAACAGATGGGAATGGAGCCACAGCACGGAAGGCCAATACTCGACAAAAATAGCTTACCAAAAGCTATCAATGCCAAGGAAGAACCCAGAGGAAGAAAAAATTTTTAAAAGGGTTTGGAACCCTATCGTCCCTACCAAAGTGGCGGCACTTAACTGGAAAACACTGCTGGACAGAATCCCTTCTAAGTTAAATCTGATCAAAAGGGGTATTATCAAAGACATGGCAGAAGGAAATTGTGTATTATGCAATGAAGAGATTGAGGATGCTGACCACCTGTTTTTAAAATGCAAAGTAGCTAGAGGCCTGTGGCAAGCATGTGCAAACTGGTGGGGAACAAATTTTACACTTCACAGAGATTGCTGGACGACATTTCAACATTTTGGGACATGGACTACAAAACCATGCATTTCAGAAGGGTGGGACTGCATATGGAGTACAGTGCTATGGACTATTT